TACATAGCATAAGGGCATCAAAATGTATCAGAAAATGTAATAAAAATTGGGGGTAGTTTCGGAGCCATTTTTCGGAAAAAACCATGGGCTATAGCCTTGGGTATTTTTCAGAAATTGGCTCATTTTTAAAATGGCCGTAACTCAAAAAATTGAAGTCAGAATGAGCTCAAACTTGCTATGCAGCATAAGGACATCAAAATATATCAAAAAATGTAATAAAATTGGGGGGTGATTTTGGAGCCATTTTTTGGAAAAAAATCATAGGCTATAGCCTTGGGTACTTTTCAGAAATTGGCTCATTTTTAAAATGGCCGTAACTCAAAAAATTGAAGTCAGAATGAGCTCAAACTTGCTATGCAGCATAAGGACATCAATATGTATCAGAAACTTTAATTAAAATTGGCGATGGTTTCGGAGCCATTTTTTGGGAAAAACCATGGACTACATGTACATATACATACCTTCTTCATCAGTCTCTCTGGAATGTGCTTTCCAATTGGCACTAGGATCGATCGTTATCTCCTCCACCTCCATTTTGTTGCTACACGTCATAAATAAACATTGTTAAATAAACAGTGTTAAATGTGAGGGTGTGGTCTTACTTATTGACTCCAGAGAGTATTCCCCATATATACTGATCCACCTCAAGTCCTTCTAGCTGTGCGCTGTTGTTGCAAACGGGACATCTCCACGTACCTCTGTCACAGTTGAGTTGTAAATAAGACTGCAAGTCAAAACACTAAACAACAACAACATTAATAATAACAACAAGATTATTATTATCATTATTATTATTATTATTATTATTATTATTATTATGAAGGAAAAACAAAGCATAACTAATAACAGAGAAAAACAAAAAAGGGAAAGGAGAGGGAAGGCCCTATGGGAAAACTAAACAAAGCAAAAAACAAAACAAAGAAACTATACGTGTATTAAGAAACTAATAATAATAATAATAATAATAATAATAATAATAATAATAATTATTATTATTATTATTATGAGTAGAACATTTGTAAATGTAGCAAGAAAATAAAAAATTAAAAATACATACATGCATGTACACGCATAAATAATATTAATAATGTTAGTAGTAGACTAATTATTAGTAACAATAATGTTTATTACCTGTATATGTTTACAATCAGCTCCTCTGGCTGGTAGCTGTATCCTCTTAAAAGTAATGGGACACTTCAAAGAGACTAGGATACCAGTTTGCTGTATGCTATCATCGTTATTGCTCTGAAACCACCTCTTGACTAAGAGAGAGAAAAACAGAGAAAGAATGAGGAAAAGGAAACCCTAATTTGATTTCAAAACACTACATATGAATACATTAAACACTGGTGTATATACAACATACACGTATACATTGTGTGTGTGTACATTGTGTGTATCTTACTCTTA